CTCAGTAGTAAGTATCTTGCCTCTCTTCTTCTGGCAGCTCTTTCTTCACTCCTGAAGCTGAAAGGAGACGACAGAAGTGGCGGACGAGCTTTGCTTCCACTTGTACCAGAAGATTTCGAGTTGCTGCTGTAAAAAAGTGACATGAATCAATCAACTAGCCCTTATAATAGACCAAAGAGCTGAATGGTTGGTCGTTGACATTTAGAACTCACCTTCTATCATCTGCTTGGCGAGTAGCCATCATAGAAGAAGCAGAAAGCTTTGATTGGTCATGATTAACAGATGCCTGGAATCAATGTAAAGCCAGGGTAAGCACTTCAAGATGAACGACCTCGAAACACAGAAGCATGAACTATTATTATTCACTCTACCTTTGTCGCAGCATTCTTTGGAGCAGTTGCAAGGTCTCTCGCCAACACAGATGAAGCGCGGAGCTTTGATTGGTTATCAGATGCCTGGAATCAATGTAAGCCAACGTAAGTACATAAAGATAAATGATCTCGAAACACAGAAGCATAACCTATTATTCACTCTACCTTTGTTGCAGCAATCTTTGGAGCAGGTGGAAGTTCTCTAGCCATCATAGATGAAGCGCGGAGCTTTGATTGGTCTTGATGAACAGATGCCTGGAATTAACGTAAGCCAACATAAGCACAGACGAGATCAATGAGCTAGAAACAAAGAAGCATGAACTTTGTTTCACTCTACCTTTGGTGCAGCATTCTTTGGAGCAGTTGCAAGTTCTCTAGGCTTCCTAAGGGAACTTTTACCAGTTTCCCACAACTTAGAAGCGAAATTTATGGACATATGGATAGCCTTTGGTGCTGTTCTCTTCTTCTCAATTGACATTTCTTCCCCAACACCAACAGTCTTCTTGGTTCCAGCTTTCGTCTGGGATGATGAACTTGTCTTTTGTTTAGCAGCAGACTTTGAGATTGAGAATCTTGATGTAGTAATTGTAGTTGTTGTTCCACTTTTACTCGATGATGAAGCCGAGCTCTTCCTTCTTTTATTACTTTGTATATCCACATCCTCCAGTTCAGCAGCAGCTTCCTGATTGTTGAGCAAACAATTCATTAAGAAAAAACAGAACAGGACAAACAAACACACCAAAAGATTAAAAACAGCTGGTCAATGGCTCTCTTCTTCACCTTCATAATGGGCGTTACTTGTTTCATCTCATCAGCATTCTCTACCTGCTGGGTAGTTTCCACCTTATTTTGTTCCTCGTCGAGCTCAACTTCTGGTTCTTTAACAATCATGTGTTCATCTTCTTCCACAGATGATGTTGAATTGTCCATCACATTCTCATCACCACAGCTACTTGTTTCTTCTGAGTCATTTCCACTATTCTGCTGCTCCTCAATCGCCATAACCACATCATCAACTGGACAAACAACTGAAACCGAATTCCTCACATCACTAGAACAATCAGTACTGATTTCATTAGCAACAGCAGGGGCAGCTACTGGTTCAGTTGTGGCTTCTGCTACTGCTGCTGCAGCTTTCATGGCGGCTCTCTTCTTGTAATGCGCTTCGAAGAAGGCCTTCTTCTGAGCAACGGAGCCCGGTTTGGAGAACTGCTCAACTTCCTCCAAGTAACGGTTGTGTGAGAAAGTTGACCATTTCTCCCAAGCTAATGACTCCGACATGAATCTCCCAAATGAGACCGAGTCCGTCAGTGCTCTAAAAGTGTCCCCCTGAAACTGAAACAATTCAAATTTCAAAGCGAGACCTAGCAAAGTGGATGAAGCAAAATCAAGCACCCAACTTTCAGATTTCAATGGGAGAACTCGAGAAACAGAACATAACCCTCTTCATTAAACAGATAACCCAACTCAAATCTAACCTCTTGAGATTCGCGGAGTGAATTGGATGGGTGAGTGAAGGATCTCATTAGACAAGCTCCAGACTCCGCCATTTTCACCACTTTTCCTCTCTCTTCTTCTTCCTGCCTCGCACAGTGCTTTTCAAAACTTCGAAAACAAATAGCTTTGAGAAGATTCAAACTTTTGAATTTGTGGGAACCTTGATTGTAGGGCTGAAAAAAAGGTTGCAGCTTTTTCGCTTTACAGGCTCAGTCTCTCTTCTCTCACTGAGGTGAGGAGCGAGTGAGGAATTAAATCTAACGACGATGATGAATTCTGCCGTTTCTTTGTGGTGTAAATAATAAAAATGAGTAGTAATAATAAGAAGAAAAAGGGTAACGAATTTGACTAATTTTCCATCAATGGCACTGCCATTAAACACTTGCCGAGCTCTGAATCCACAGAAAAATGAACGTTGGGGTTGGAGGGAACCACTCTCTACAAATGTGGGGCCCACGTGCTCTAACGTCTAGTTTTTTTTTATTCCATTCAATATTTCTGGTTTCCAAGTTTTGTTCATTAGATTATATCTATTTAAGGGTTAAGTCATAAAATGGTCACTAAACTATAAACATTAAACAAAAAGACACCCTTTCGAAAGGGCAATCCCTTTCCAGTTCGTCTCGTCTACTGTGTCTGTAAGGGTTATTTTGGTAAACAGACTAAAAGCGTCATAAAAATCATTCATTTCTAGTTCGTGAATTGTTAATGAATCGGGAGTCACTCACCTACGTAGGGAAGTTTTGAGTTGGTTTTGAAAGGAATGGTTGAGTGGTTACGTATGGAGCTGATGGATTGTTCGATCATTTTTGATGATATAACTAAGTTTATTTGAATCGTTAATTCGGTCGAACTAATGAAATTTTCAGATAAGATAGAATATGTTCATTCTTCACAAACCACCTAACCAAGTTGTTTTGTCAAGTGTTTTAGTTGAAAGACTATCTTGTACTTAAAATGGCTTTGAAAGAGTTTTCTCGGCTCCGTCGCATTTGGCCTGTATCAAAGTTTCTCAACCACTGTTGCATGTGGAAACACAAAGGGTATTTTGGCAGACTCCGAATTACGATGATGATAGTTGAACGACTATCTTGTACTTATAATGGCTTTGAACGAGTTTTCTCAGCTCCGTCGCATTTGGCCTGTATCAAAGTTTTTCAACCACTTTTGCATGTATAAACACAAAGGGTATTTTGGCATAGACTCCAAATTACGGTGATGATATAGACATTTAAACCATATCTTGAAGAATGCCGTTGGGAGGCGCTACTTCACCCTGTTGGCTTTTCTGTTTTGGTCCACAAAGTATGAATTTATTTATTCAATTGGGAATAATATAAAGGGAAAGGGAAGATATATAAAAAGGAAAATATAGGTAGTGCAAAGAATAAGTAATCTAAAATGACGAATTAGCAACGGGTTGTGTCCACAATTAGTTGTTTTGTCTTCATTAAGGAAAATATAGGTAGTGAAGACTAGGGGTGTGCAATGGTCCGGTCCGTACCGGACCACACCGGACCAACCCGTTGCTAAGACCGGACCAGACCGAGTAAAATGCGGTCCGGTTCTTGGTCCTCTTGATTTTTATAATTACTGAAGAAATGGTGGACCGAGCTCATATTTGGACCGGACCGAACCGGACCAAATGGACCAAATGCAAGAATGGTCCGGTCCTTGGTCCTAACATGTCTTTCACTAATGGATCGCGGTTCTCATGAGTTTGGTCCAGTCCGGACCGAACCGAACCGTTGCACACCCCTAGTGAAGACAATTAACTGTTTTCATTACAAAAATGTGTGAAAGTACATTTTGATGAGAGATTGAAAAAGCGTCATGAGTTGTATGTTATTAATTAAATAATTTATCGTTCGAAAATGAAAATATGAACTCAACAGATAATTAAAAAAGATGCATAAAAAATTGAATCTGTTGGGGATGCGGCTCAGATCCTGCCGCGCGAGTAGGACGACCTAGAAACTCCCGCGAGTGCAGACGTGTCCGCGAGCAAATGAAGCATTAGGCGACGCCGTTTCACTTTACCCAAACCGGCATCGTTTCACCCTGCACAAACCGTCGTCGTTTTGGTTAGTTCACACTGGGAGAAAGAGTATCCTCTGAAGGAAGAGTCACATCCTAGTCCTAGTCCTAGGTATAATTATGGCCTAAAGCATGGCCTATATATCTGACACATGTAGTGGTCTTGTCGCATTAAATATCCACTTACCACAATGTACTATAAATAGAGCATTTACTACGGTAGGTAAGGAATCGATTTTCGACTCTCTCACATATACATCGACTTCTCTCTCTAGAATCTCATTCTCTCAACCTCATTCCCTGAGACTCTTCGCCATTAACAGATCGGAGATTCACCTTGCCGATTCTTCTCTCCCCACATTCACGGAGTCTCACTCCTACACTCAGTTAGACTCAAACAGAATCTAATGAAGGTTCAAAGACAAAATTGCCCTTGCTCGGATTAAGAACACATTATATTTGAGATGGAATGTGGTAAAATACTAAACTCCTTTATGAAACATTCCAAGTGAACAAATTTTGTACATAATTATAGTTTGTTTTTAGGGTAAATACAATTTAATAGCCAAACCTTTCATTTTTAACAAAATAATAGCCAAACCTTTTCGAAAACATTTTATTAGCCAAATCGACAACTCTCCGTCTGGTCAGCCGTCAGTTGACTCCGACGTGGAAAGAAACGGTACACGTCAGATAATTTTTTCCAATTTTTTTTATATTTCCGAGTTATTATCTTTTATATAAGAGATGGGGAATTAATCGGGGCATTCATTTTTCCCCCTCCTCCTCCGCGCAACCTCTCCTCCTCCGCCCAGCCTCTCCCCGCCCAGCCTCTCACCGTCGAAGGAATTCCCTCCCCGTTCTGACTCTCTCGCCCCGCCAAAAACTCTTCTTTCTCCGCCACTTATTCTTCTCCCTCGTCCCAGAACTCCACTCGAGGCTCCTGATCGCTGCCATCCCAGATCTGGTCGCGTCGTGGCGGCTTTATTGTCCACAACCCGGCGAGCTTCGGTGCATAAGATCCCCATGTCTACGAAGGACGGTTCATCCTCTTCTGCGAACACGAATCGAGATTCGAGACCTATATGCCACGATTGTCCATGTATCTTGCAGGTGTCGGGTACCGACAAGAATCCGGGAAGAAAGTTTTACTGTTGTCGATACTGGAAGGTAACACATTGTGTTTAGTTGGTGGCCTTTTGATTTATCTATTGTACATGTTTGAGGAGCTCTCTTTTGTAGGATTCAAAAGTAAAGTGCAAGTTCTTCGTGTGGGTTGATGAGTACGAACCCAAAATTTGGAAGGAATCAGAGGACGAGCTGAAGACCAAACTGATTGAAATGGAGGAGTGCTGTAGGATTGCTCGGATGAAGGCAGAAAGGAGGAAAAAGGCTAAAAATTTGCTTTTAGAAGAACTGATCAGTACCAAGGAGGAGCACGCAAGAATGGAATCCGAGTTAAGGAAAATCAGCAACGTGGTTGATGTTCTTGAAAGCAGGATGAAGAATGTGATGATAATTGCTCTAGTTGTTATGCTTTGTGTTGTACTTTCGTGGTTTCAATGAGTGATTAATGTGTTCTTGACTTCAATTTGCAATAGAGTGCTGCTTGTTTTAAGTATGAAAACGATCTATCCAAGAGTGCATATCCTTTCCATAAACACACTATGAAGTGAACCTGTACAAAATGCAAAAGTAGGTAGAAGAGAGCCAATCAAACTACATTGGCTCAATTCACCACAAGCTCACCTTCATCAGTCTGCTTCACATTTACATTAAGAAGCAGAAGAGTGCATTTCTAAACTTATAATTGAGTTGTACAAAATGCAAAAGTTGGTAGAAGTGAGCCAAACTAACTAACTCGGCTCAATTCACCACAAGCTCAACATCATTTGCTCTACTTCTAAACTATAACTACTAAGTTCCCTACACTACTACTGAGGCTGAGTTGCTGGTCCATGTGTCGCATCAATTTCAGTTGGTTGGGTACCGACAGCTTCTGCAGAACTACGAACTCCAGCATTCTCCGCCCTCAGAAACTGAAAAGTTACAGCCAAAAATATCAATTAGTTACAACAACTACTACTTATTACAGTGTAAGTAACACATTGGTAAAGCAAGACCAATTGACACCATTCTCACGTACATGGACATACTGGTTCCCGGTGTTCACGTTTGTATATATACCAATGCCACCTAGGGCAGCTCTGACGTCTCTGGAAACTTTGTTCGCATTCCAAACCTCAATGCTAGCATGCTATATATTTGTAACCAAAATTAATCAGATAGACAAGAAGACAGATTCATGCAAAAGGGATTATTTTGCAACAACACGGCTACTTACCTGAATTCCCATGTTCAGTGGACACTTCCTAGCATTATGTCCAGGCTGTTTACACTTTCCACAATGGATGGCCCTATCTGTAATATACAATGTTGAGATATTGTAAACAGAGTATAGTGTTTATAATGGGGAGTACTATGTAAAATCATACCTTTGGTTTGCTTGCTTCGTTTTGGGATTCCATTGGCTGCCCTCTCCCTCCTTCATTCGAACCACCTTGCTGCCCCCATCCTCTCCCTCGTGTCCCTCTCCCTCGTGTTCCCCTACCTTGGACGTTTTCCATAATTGGTTCACTTGGAACAAATGGTGGATTGGGACACTTCCTAGCATTATGTCCGGTCCCTCGACACTTACTGCAATGCATCACCATTCCTTCTCGCCCAATTGACTGTCCAGAACCATTCTTATGCACTCGAACCTCGAGTTCAGCCGCCTCCTTTCTTCTTTTCTTCTTAGGACGCCCCGGCATTGCCTTCTGAATCGGCGGGTATACAGGATATCCTTCAGCACTAGGCCAAGTTTGTGGTCCACTCATACACGACATTCCATGTGCATAAACCTTTCTAGCTGTGGTCACGAGGTAGCATTCATGCACATAATCTTCCACATTCAGCCTCATTAATCCCATGGCCAATTGAGCATGGCAGCATGGGATCCCAGATAGTTGCCAAGCCCCGCAGGTACAATCACGGCTGCCCAAATCAACCACGAATCCTGCTGCCTCAATACGGACTTCAACTCTGTCATTGGTGCTAGCACGAGCAAGGCACTTTCTTGCCTTGACATCCTCTTCGGCTATGATGCTTCTTGCCTGTGGACATATCAAGTTCCGAAGCCTTTCATACTTTCGATGCATCTTCCTCATCCGAACCATCATGTAACCTCGAATGCCCTCTAGCATAACAATAATTCTCTGCTCCCTGTGCTTGAGTATTACATTATTCCAGCTCTTACAACTATTACTTTCAACAGAATCAGACTTCGGGACTCTAGATATAAATGCACGGCAGAATGTACTTGGGTCCTGATCCATGAAGTCAGTGTATGGTTTTTCAGTGGTGGCAGCCTCTTTTTCGTATGCTTCCATCTGAGAAGTAACTTCTTTAAAATCAGCCTCATTCTTGTTCTTGGCCTTCCAGTTCGCATTCACATGACGAGAACACTTCCTATGCTCTGCATTAGGCATCACATCATGCATAGCCTCGACCAACCCCTGTAAACCAACCATTCAGAAGACATCAACTCTAATATAAATCTCACAGCAGCAAACATTTTCAGAATTGAAAAGAACAACAAAATTGAATTAAAAGTTATCTTTTGTTGGTCGGAAACGATGCTCCATCCGCTTCCATCACCAAACATTAACTCTTCTTGGATTATGTTGAGAAACCACGTCCATGACTCTTTGTTCTCTCCCTCTACCACAGCCCATGCGAATGGGAGAATGTGGTTATTCCCATCTTTCCCCACAACAGTCAACAACATTCCTTTGACCTCGCCCTTCAAAAAACAACCATCTTCTGAAAAAATCCTTCGACGTCCAGCGAGGAATCCATTTTTCAGAACTGAAAACATCACCATGAACCGTCTGAAATACACCTTATCCGCTGTCCCGTCTGAAACAACCCTTCCATCACATCCTTATCGGAATGCAGTTCATGTAGACCATCCACCATTGTAGCCCCCGGTGTTAAGTACCATATCTTTCGAACGGCAACATACTTCAAGTAAATTGTAACCACATTCAAAAGCTCGAAGTAACACACTTCATCAACATCCACCGCTATCTTCTCCGAAAAACCGCCAACATATCGTGGTACCGATCTCGAGAAGTCCATAAACCCACCATGATGGTATAGAATATCCAAATATTCCGTCATCTGCGAAGAAGAAGCAAAAAGCTATGTGTGATTTTCCCGGGAAGATGATTGTTCATTCGCATTCACAATTACAGTTCAATCCTATGCTTCTGCTTTCATACCTTGTAATGCAGGGGCAATTTCGTGACTATTTCTTCAGTGGTCCCGCTGTGGTCCTCACAAACCAGATTCCGCCAAAATCGCACTATTATAAAAGAGGGCAATTTCAATCAAATGGGGATAAAGAACCTAGGGTTTGAAAGCAAAATCAGGGAATGGGTACCTAAATGCGTCGTCTCCTTCAGCGCTCCATCGTCTCGCTCCGTCGTCTCCTCACCAGTGCTTCGTCTGTCTCCTCGCCAGCGTTCCGACGTTTCCTTCGCCAAAAGCCCCGGCCTGGGAATGCACGGTCGGGAGCAAAGCTAGCTTTTTCCGGCTTTCACATGACGAGGGAGGAAGCCGGCGCCGTTGATTTTGGTTCTGTGGTGGGCGATGGGTTTGGTTTCGCCGGAGGAGTCGAGGGCTTCTTCTTTGAGGGAGAAATTCGAACGGGAGAATGGGTGGAAGAGAGTGAAGAGAGAGAGTGATTAGATAATGTGTTGATTTTCCTCTTTTCTTATTTTATTTTTCCATTAATTTTAATTAGGTGCCACAACAGAAAAATGTGCCACGTGTACAGTTTCTTTCCACGTCGGAGTCAACTGACGGCTGACCAGATGGAAAGTTGACGATTTGGCTAATAAAATGTTTTCGAAAAGGTTTGGCTATTAAATTGTTTTTGGGTGAAATGTTTGGCTATTAAATTGTTTTTACCCTTATTTTTATGAAAAAGATTCATTAAGAAAATCTCGATGGCTTTGACAAAACACTGATTTACTATCAAACAGAATCAATTGACCCAGACCAAACCATATATACGGTCTAGATACAGACCGTAGGCTGGAGTAAGACATTGTGGGTAAAAAAACCTTAATTACACTTCAACCCTTCTACAAACCATCCGTCACAAACAAAAACAAATCATTCAACATGAATATCAAGAACCTTGGAGCTCAAACCAGCCTTGGGGATACTTATATACAACACCCCATCCTTAACCTCAGCCTTAATCTTCTCAAACTCAACATTCTCAGGCAGAGCAATCCTACTGCTATACCTTCCATAGCTCTTAGCAGACCAATCATCACCTTTGTCTCCCTCTACTTCTCCATCCTTACCGGCTGCCGATTTCTTAGCCCTGACAACCAACATCTTGTCCTCCACCCAAACTCTGACATCCGACTTGGTCATTCCAGGCATGTCGAACCTCATCTTGTAGTCGCTCTCGCCTTCTCTGATCTCCCATGGAGTTCTCCCCCTACTGTAACCTCCTCTCAGGTCCTCCATTGACAATTGTGGTGGTGGCGAGTAGGCTAACAGTAGTGGGTCTTCTTCCACTAGCCTCTCCATTGTATCCATCATTTGCTGCACTGTTTTCGCCGTCGGAAATCTGTCCCATAGCCCTGCAAATTGCAAGTGTCACGCGACAAGTGATTCGTCGAGGACAGGCTCATCATTGAGCATGAATCAACAGTAGTAATAAACTGACACAGAAAGGAACAACTTCTGACGTACCTACAGGAGCAGAAGGAGGAGCAACTTTCCTTCTGGACTGCTGCTGCTGCTTGTTGTTGCGATTGACTCTCTGCAAATGGTCAAGATTATCTCTGCCATCTGGCGCCGTGGCTTTGATGCTGAAGCTGCCAGAATTCTTCAGGTTTACCAGGGAATTACAGCTCGATTTCGATGGTGAAGGCAAGGAAAGGCCTAAATTTGACAGGACTTGAGACATTTTGTCACAAAGATGAAAACTTTGAGCCAAAGTCGGAAGCTTTTTGTACAGGAATAAATGTTCTAGTAATCGAAGGGGTGGAAGCAGAGCGGTGGTATATAAAGGGAGGAATATAGACATTTCTAGAGATGAACAAGAAAGAAAAGACTGGAAATTTCTGGCAGGGGAGGGGCAGAGTTTTTTGGTGCTTCTGGAACTGTCCAGAAATGTAAGAAATAACAGATTGTGAGGAGCTGCTCTCTGAGGAAATTTGTGGGGGGAAGTGGATAAAGTAATTTGGACTGCCCATTGAGCTAACGGCCCACTGATGTCTTTTCCAGTTTTCCCCACGCCATCAGTAGTTGGACTGGACTTGCCCATTCGGAGAATTGGCCTTAAACCAAGAAACAACTAGGCCTATTAAAAGGTTATCTGCTGGTGTATCTTATAACCGAATTGGAACAGACAATTAATGGTTACACCAATAACAGATTAAATCGTAAATGGTTGGTTCTCAGTTGCTAAATTTAGCTAATTATTAATCAACCGTTAAGCGGTTAACCTATTACGGTCATCCTCACGGTGAGGACCGAAAATAATAGGTCTCGATAAGCCATATGCCCAAAATAATGGGACGGTCGAAGGTTTACAAGATCCCTTACCTACCCTACCTGTAATAATGATTTATATTTAAACGACAATAATTTCAAGGAAGGCAAGGCTCTGAAGCTTGCACATAGAAAGATGGACTTGCACATAGTAACTCGACAACAAACATCGACATTTAAGCTTACATATAATTTGATAGGGTTTATGAATCAAGTAACTGTTGTTGGATCTCTTATTATTGTTTGCTTCTTTAATCAAATAATGATGTTATTGAGTTGAATTATATATTTATATTCTAATTAAATGACCTTTTTCCCCTTCTCAAAATTAGGTGGTCGTTGTAATATGACCAGTAATCTACTAGTACTAGGACATCTCAACAGAAGGAACCGACACCAAGAGAAGTGGCTTCATTCCTGCCAGCCAGTGGGTACCCAAGTTTTGGAGCTGCATTATCGAACTCTAAATTCCAAGTTCAACCACTAAATCATCATTTGCCGCCAAGATTACCCGAAATTCAAAACACTGCTCTAAGAAGAAACCCCAACTGACTTAAAGTAATCTTTAAGGGACAAAATCAACAGCAAAAATAAGAGCAAACAGAACAACAACGACATATCTGCAGACTGCAGCAGCAGCAACATTGTTCATGCCTCCATTGATCTCCTCCTTTATAAGGTTTGCGGTGGAGAGTAACCCATTCAGAACAAAGCAAAGCAAAGCATCAAAGTAGAGAGAACCAAAGCCAGGAGTCACTTACCAAATCAAAAGCGAGAAACAGACAGACATCCCAATGGCTTGTTCCTCTCTTCGTTTCCTTCTCGTTCTGGTCTGCTTCCTTCCAGCTCTGGTAGACTCTGCAGTTCGTCGCTACAATTTCAATGTAAGCATCGTCATTCGACTCATTTCATCATTACTTTCATTGACACTGTTAGTTATTTAGGCCAATTTCAGATTGAGAAAGACTTGAAAAGCACAGAAAGTTCAAGTCACCAGCAGCTACCGTTAAAACTGCAATCCAACTGCTAATGTTGCTTTTTCAGGTTGTTATGAAAAGTACTACAAGGCTATGTTCGAGCAAGCCAATTGTTACAGTGAATGGCAGATTCCCGGGGCAAACCCTATATGCTAGGGAAGATGATACAGTGCTAGTGAGAGTCGTCAACCAAGTCAATTACAATGTTTCCATCCACTGGTAAGTTGAGCGAACACAATCATAGAAATCCTGGAAGCTAAATTTGACGCTAAGGAAAAATAAATAAGGAGCATTACCTTTTTCAAAATATATCTATGCAGGCATGGAATCAGGCAGCTGAGGACTGGTTGGGCAGATGGACCAGCATACATCACACAATGCCCTATCCAGCCAGGGCAGAGCTATCTATATAACTTCACCGTCACGGGGCAAAGAGGAACGCTTCTTTGGCACGCACACATTCTCTGGCTAAGGGCTACCGTCCATGGTGGCATCGTCATTTTGCCCAAGCTGGGTGTTCCTTACCCATTCCCAGCTCCCCACAAAGAAGTGGTTGTGGTATTAGGTACGAAACAATAATGTCTGCAATGTCACTTGGAGAAAGAGTTCCTCGTGCAATAACGAAACGAGAATGTGAAATGCAGGTGAATGGTGGAAATCAGACACGGAAGCTGTGATCAATGAAGCCACAAAATCAGGATTGGCACCAAATGTCTCTGATGCCCACACAATCAATGGCCATCCTGGCCCGATTTCCAACTGCGCCTCGCAAGGTTTGTGTATCTTCTGCAGAACATTCAGCACAAAAAATCTCTACAGTTCTAACCGATCATATTCTGAAACGTAAACTCTCAATTTCCAGGAGGCTTCACACTGCCATTCCAGGCAGGGAAAACCTACATGCTAAGGCTAATCAACGCTGCACTCAATGAAGAGCTCTTCTTCAAAATTGCGGGCCACAAACTCACAGTAGTGGAGGTCGACGCCACCTATGTCAAACCATTCAAAACCGACACAGTCCTAATCGCTCCAGGACAGACGACAAACGTCCTGGTTTCAGCAGACCAGAGTTCGGGAAAGTACCTGGTGGCCGCCTCGCCGTTCATGGACGCTCCAATCGCCGTCGACAACAGAACCGCCACGGCCACGGTCAGCTACGCCGGCACCCTGTCGAGCGCCCAGACGACTCCGACGAACCCACCTCCTCAGAACGCCACCGCAGTGGCCAACAAGTTCACAAACTCACTCCGAAGCCTCAATTCCCAAAAATTCCCCGCCGCCGTCCCTCAAAAAATCGACCACAACCTGTTCTTCACGGTCGGGCTGGGAATCAACCCGTGCCCTAGCTGCAAAGCCGGAAACGGCAGCAGAGTGGTCGCCGGAATCAATAACGTCACCTTCGTAATGCCCACCACGGCCCTGCTACAAGCCCACTTCTTCAACCTCAACGGCGTCTTCACCACCGATTTCCCGGCCAACCCGCCCCACGTCTTCAACTACACGGGAACCCCACCGACGAACCTGGCGACCACGAGAGGGACGAAGGTTTACAGATTGGGTTACAATTCGACGGTTCAGCTGGTGATGCAGGACACCGCCATCATCTCCCCCGAGAACCACCCAATCCATCTCCACGGATTCAATTTCTTCGCGGTGGGGAGGGGAATCGGAAACTACAACCCTAAATCGGATCCGAAGAAGTTCAATCTGGTCGACCCGGTGGAGAGGAACACCATCGGAGTGCCTTCGGGCGGGTGGGTCGCGATTCGGTTCCGGGCTGATAACCCGGGAGTGTGGTTTATGCATTGCCATCTGGAAATCCACACGACTTGGGGGTTGAAGATGGCGTTCTTGGTGGACAATGGGAAAGGCCCCAATCAGTCGCTTCTGCCGCCGCCCGGCGATCTTCCCAAGTGCTGAACCTGAACTGAACGGTGGGCTGGCTGAAGAGTTTCGCCGGAGTGGAATGAAGCAAAAAAAAATTGTATGCAAATTGAGAGTTGTAACTTGTAAGTGGAGTCTCGCAATTCGTTTCTTGAGTAAAAGTGTTGCTCAAGCATGATCAAATAATAATTTGTATCTGCAGTTATTTTCGCTAGAATGTTTGTAAGCATATTATATTATATAAACAATTCTAGAATTTTCATAAATTTGTGTATCTAGTTGTTTATAATTACTAATTTAGTGTCAAATTCTCAACCTTACAATAAAAATATGTCCTCGACCAATTATGATAAATTGATAATATATAATTTAAATATCAGTAAAATTATTTTTATACGTCCAATCCCCCTTGAGTGAAATCTTGCATTCGTCAATATAAGGAATATCAACATTATATTCACTCAGTCAAAACTCACACAGTCTAGTAGTGAAACCTTTAGTAGGCACTCGTTCCGAGAAGTGGCAGATCTCGTGTTCAACCCCCATCGAGGTCTGCTATGGTATTCCTGGAGGCATTTAATGGAGATTCTCGTGGAGACTCGAAAGACTTAAGCAGGTGATCACCCCATCATCGTTCAAGCGATGTGTGCGTTGAGTCCCTCAAACATAGTTTATTGCTTTCCTACCCAAAATAAAACAAATTTTTAGCCAAAGTAATTTTAGTAATTTTGTTTCAAGTATAGCTAGGAAATCCATTATTCTATCTAAGACAATTTGAGTTTTATCCATACTCGAACAAGAATCGAATAGAATATCAAAATCTTAGTTATTATCCGCAATATTCGAAATCAAATTTTACCTAAACCCGAGTTTGAATTTTACCCCTTGATTATATTAGATTCGGGAGCATATCCACAAATACCATTATTTCTGGTAACACCCAAAAAAGTTTTGGATACATCATCAATGTTCTACTTCCATCCGTGCAAAAAGTCCACAACGATATATATATATATACGTAAACCTCTTGGATCGACCAAAGCTCAATTTCATTTCCACCCCCCAACTTTCCCTTCTCATTTCCTCACCATCCCCCCAACACAAAGAGAAAACATGGACACTCTCATCACCATCTTTCTTTCCCTCGCCACCATCTTCATATCCATCTACTACTTCATCCAGAAGCCATCGCCCGCCACCTCCACGGCCCCCGAACCGCCGTCGCCGGCCGGCCGTCTTCCCATCATCGGCCACCTCCACCTCCTCTTCCTCACCGGAGAACTCCCACACCACCAACTCGCCCGACTCGCCGACGGACTCGGCTCCCCCGTAATCAAGCTCCAACTCGGCCGAGTCCCCACCGTGGTCGTCTCCTCGGCTCAACTCGCCCGCTACGTCCTCAGGGTGAACGACGGCGTTTTCGCCAACCGGCCCCAGCTCGTGGCGGCGCAGTACCTGTCGTTCGGCTGCTCAGACGTCACGTTCTCGCCGTACGGGCCCTACTGGCGCCAGGTCAGGAAGATTTGCGTCACCGAGTTGCTCAGCCCCCGCCGAGTCCACTCCTCCCAGCAGGTCAAACCCCCCTACACTACTATATATGGGTAAAAATAATCACTTTGCGAAAAAAAAATCAAAATATTAAAGTTTGGACCTAGGTTAGGTGTAGATCGTGGGTATCCTCAGCAATCCAGAGTGGTTCGTTTGAGTTTGCCACGATTCGGGCAATTCGCGAAAATGGTTCGCTTGAGTTGTCAACAAACCATGTTTATTCGGTGGCTGGTTTGTTTGGGTCAACCATGATTCAGACGATTTGAGGGTAGATCGCTCCTCTTTCCAGCGAACCACCACACAATTTGCTTGATACTTAGATGATTGTTTCAAACTCTAGTATTTTGGTAAATTCTGACAAAATGTTATTTTCAGGGAATTCTTGCATTTTACGATTTTTTCGTTATATAAACATATCATAGTTGCTTCCCTCGAAACGATATAATAATTAATATTAGGATGAGACTTTTAACCCGATCATTTTTACTCAGATTTGTTTGACCTGCGACGAAGTGGGATGGAAATGGGTATATACTCTACTCGATCTAACCTGCTACGACATGCCTTATACTTCACCCATTTTCTCCTAAATTACATATAATTATATTTAAAATTATTTATAATTTTACTTTCATTATTATCTCAAATATTAGCTATAATAAAATTGTTAATATTTGAGAATCTCAATTTCTCGAATAATATTGGCATTTCTAATTATATTGATACGTGTGTTGTTCCATTTCTGTACAGGTGAGGAAGGAAGAAGTGGACAGGATGGTGGCCGCCGTGGCGGCGAGCTCCGGCGAAGAAACCGACGTGAGCAGCCTGCTATTCGGACTAGCGAACGACGTTCTATGCAGGGTGGCGTTCGGCAGAAGGTTCGTTTCGGGCGGCGGGGAAGGGAAGAAGAAGGAGCTGGTGGGTGTGTTGACGGAGACGCAGGAGCTGCTGGCCGGGTTTTGCTTGGACGATTTCTTCCCGGGGTGGGAAACCGTCACGAGTTGGATCACCGGGTACCAAAAGAGACTGACCAGAAATCTGGAGGACCTGAAGGAAGTTTGTGACGAGATCATAGGCGAGCATTTAATGAAGAGGAAGGATTGTGGTGATGACCAAGAAGAAGAAGAAGAGGATTTTGTTGATGTTCTGCTCAAGGTTCAGAGAAGGGAGGATCTCGATGTCCCTGTTACTGATGATAATCTCAAAGCTCTGGTCCTGGTAAGTATACTCCGCGATTTGACATTGAGCTTTAACTGCAGAATTGCTTGCCCCTCTTAAATTGTCTTCTCTTTTTCAGATCTTTCTATGTTAAATCTTGATTCGGCTAGTTGATGGTATGGGTTAGGCTTAGTACGATAGTGATATAGTTGGATTGTATGCATGGCTCGTAATCCTTACAATATGTGCATTAACGTTAGTATCGCGCCTACATCTAACAGCTAATCATGAAACGGAACAATCCCCACGATGTCAATCAGGTAAATTATTGGGCGAGTTGAACTCAAAGTTACGGTTAAGATAGAATAGTCGCAGTTGTGACTGTGACACGTGAAACCAAACCGTGCCATCTAATATGCGTCGTTTTGGACTTAAGTGCTCATTTTTATAACTTTAACCCTAACTAGATATTGCTAGTACATGGTAGTACGACACCTATATATGGCGTAACGTCATTGTATTTGTTATTATCTTGATAAGCGGATAGATGTACCTCTCTATAAACTAACTAGTCTTGTTCACATCGAACGAGAAAATCACGTAATATAAATCGTTGTCTCGTATACTCTCAATTTATTATTTTCTTCTTAGGTCTTTTGGTTCCAGGAAGGTTCACAAGAGAACAGAACCTCCCCACGTCAAACGTTAATCCCGAGAGTACAGAAGTCAAAATGCGTAGGATACTGTTGCATTAAAATCGTCAACCTAGGGTTCTTACATTTGTTTGTTGGTTGGTTGGCCGTCTTTAGGGGTACAGAAGGAGGAATTTCCTTTTGGTTGAATGACTAGCTAGCTACTCACATTTATGAAGGCATAGATAGGACTTAGGAGAGAAACAGAGGAAGAAGACACGACACAGGGAAAAAAAAAAAAAAACAAGTCTGAAGAAACGTGGAGCGGCTGCATGTTCAGCAGAGCATGCAGCAGAAACGTCCAACCAAATGACCTCATAATCCAATTAATTACACGACTCTTTCTTCATGGAAAGAACAGTTCCACAAGGCACAAATTGCCCCACTGAGTAGGATTTTGATGGTTGCTTTTCGCGTGTGAGTGACAACATGGTATTTTGTAAAGTAATAGTTTAAATAATGGTAATTCAAAAGTAGAGGGATTTTATTTCATTCTTAATCTTTCTTTTCATGAATTTGTCATCTACAACACCATGTGGTCTGATAAGCGATAAATTTTCATGAGAGAAGGGTCGTTGAGCAAATAATTTATATTTTTAAAATTCGATCTCTCATGTTGTCTAGTTTGTACTATTTTGCTTTGTTTTGGGTTAATTGCATGGTTGGTCACTGAGATTACAAAAAGCGTTCATGTTTGGTCACTCTAAATATTTAAATCCATTTTTGGTCACTAACTTTACAAAAACCACTCATTTATGGTCACTCTCCGTTTGCTGCCGTCCAACGCCGTTAACAGCGTCCGTTAAGTGATGACGTGGCTGACGGATTTGCCTAATCAGCACTTTTTAACCCCAAAATTGACTGACCCGACCTGCCACATCATTTAAACCCTCCATGTCAACTAAACCTAACCAAACCTCTAACCAAACCAGACCAGACCCGCTAACTAAAACAGAACTGACCCGACCCACCAATTAATCTACCCACCTTTGACTAAAACCCTAATCGAAGACAAATCCATCCGCCTCCATCCCGCGCCGCCTTCCTCCCTTCCGTTTTTCTTCCTCTTAGAGGTTTGGTTAGGTTTAGCTGACATGGAGGGTTTAAATGATGTGGCGGGTCGGGTCAGTCAAGTTTGGGGTTAAAAAGTGTTGATTAGGCAAATTCCTCAGCCACATCATCACTTAACGGACGCCGTTAACAGCGTTGGACGGCAGCTAACAGAGAGTGACCATATATGAACGGTTTTTGTAAAGTTAGTGACCAAAAATGGATTTAAATATTTAGAGTGACCAAATATGAACGCTTTTTGTAATCTCAGTGACCAACCATGCAATTAACCCCTTTGTTTTTATTAAGTTAATCTTGATTCTCTTTTTTATAGAATTTCAGGGTCGATCACAAGTTTGAGGAGGTTCAACTAGTGTTGAACGGGTCGAATTAGGTTGAATACCCATGAGTTTAGATTCAATTAGCATTCTCAATCAAAAGGGGGAAAAATTAGCGAACACTAAAGCGGATGAAACTCGCTCACAAGCCAAAACTCGGCAACAACAGGTTCAACACGCTTTGATCGGATTGAACCAATTTTTTAACAAAATTCACTTGACCCAACAAGCCAATTAAAAAAGCGAATGAAACTCACTCCCGGTCAAAAACTTGTAAATATTGAGCTAAAGTCGTTTTGATAAGATGAATTAGATTGGATTCCTTGGTTTGAGTTCGATTGTCATTCTCAACCAAAGGGAAAAGATAAATAAACACACTAAAGCAAATAAAAATCACTCCCTACCAAATACTCTCGACGTTGAGTTCAACTCGCTTTGATTGGGTCAAACAAAGTTTTATAGAATACCAAACATGTCAATTATAAAAGCAGATAAAACTCACTCTCAATACAAAACTCTTCATCATCGGGTCTGGGTTCAATTGTCATTCTCAACAAAAAACGGAAAAAGAGAAGTAAAAAAACATTAAAGCGAGCAAACCCCGTCCTCGATCCAAAACTCGCGAACACCGTGTTCAACTCCCTTTGACCGGGTCAATCTAACAAATGCACATTAGATTGTTACTAGCAAAAGAAGAGTTGGGTAAAAGAAGACACTTGGGAGAGATTTGAGTAAATGGACATTAGATTGTGGAAACCTAATGGACAAAAGTTGAAACAAATGGTATGAAATGAGAGAGTGGGGTAATAGGAGGTTCTCCAAATTTTAGAGACTTAGAACTTAGGAGAATGATATGTGAGTGAAGAAAAACAAACACATAAAGGTTGCCCATTTTCACTTGGATAAGTTTGGGGGCTACTAATGAATAGTAACCTTAATGTTAGGCTTTTATATATTGTATTATTATTACTAGCAAAAGCCCGCTCGCTATCGCTTCGCGTATTAGAAAAATAAATATTTTAAAGAGTAATAGTTTTAATGTTGACCCAAAAGTGAAAGTAATCTTATTTAATTCTTAATCATTCTTATCATAGGTTTGTTATTTACAATAGCATATGGTCGATGGACTTTTATAAGGTAGAAGGGTCGTCGAATAGATTATTTATGTTTAAACTTCTTTCATGACGCTAATGTTTCAATTTGTATGGCTAGTAATTGATCATGTTGTAATTTTTGGAGAATGAAGCAAGTTCTCTGGATCTTTTCAAGAAGTATTTAAAAAAAACTGTTGAGTGCTTAGCTGAAAAACTATCAGAATTACTTTCTAATATAAGATGTAATGTAAAATGACTAAAAAAAATTTCTAACATAAAATATGAATGCAAATTCTAAAAATAAATAAGTATTTAAAATGGATCACGTTAGATTTATTTCATATTAAATAATACTATTTTTCATTTATTTTTTTATAATGATATAAATGAAAGAAAATTATGTTTTCTAGAAAAAGAATAATATATGGTAAGTACAATTTTGTATTTTCAAATCAGAGCTTCTGCTTCTAAGTTACGAAAAAACTTCAGTTTTTTAAAAGCGAAACTTTAGAGACGTTTGGCTTGGCTTCAACTTTGGAACACATAAAACTTCTAAAATTCGGGCCAAACATAGTCGAATTCTTTTGGTTTGAGGTAATCGTTGTTCTCCTTTATGAAATTTTTGGACTGATTGCAGGTTTGAGCAGGTTCAACTCGCATTGATCGGATCAAATTAGGTTGGATACCCATGGATTTGGGTTCAATTGTCTTTCTCAAACAAAAGGAAAAGGCGAAATGAAAAACACTAAAGCTAAAACTCGCTACCGACTCAAAACTCGTCAACACCATGTTCAACTCACTTTGACCTGGTTGGGCCGAGTTTTGGAAAATTCACACCTGACACAACATGCCAATTACAAAAACGAATAAAACTCGCTCCCGCCGAAAACCTGTAAAATCGGGTCAAGTCGCTTTGGTCGGGTCGAATTAGGTTGTATACCCATGCGTTTGGACTCAATTGTCATTCTCAACCTAAAGATTAAAAAAAACTAAAATGAATAAAACTCTCTAATGACCCCAAACTCTCAACTCTACGTTTAACTAGCTTTGACCGGGTACACCCAGTTGTAACAAATTCACAATTCACTCAACCTGTCAATTACAAAAGTAGATAAAACTCGTCTCAATACGAAATGCGTCAACAATGGGTTAGAGTTCCGAGCACTTCTACTATGCTATATAGTATTGGTGCTTTAATGTACAACTTGAAGTTGTACCATAACATTAAATGTACAAGTTTAGGTTGTACCATAAAGGAATTTGTATCATTATGTTATGGTACAACTTTACAACTTGAAGTTGTACCATCACATAAGGTACAAGTTTAAATTGTACCATAAAAGAATTTGTACAAAAAGTATAGGTACAATCTGAAGTTGTACCATAACATTAAAGGTACAATTTCAAGTTGTACCATAAAGGTAAAAACCTATAGTACCAATGCTATATAGCATTGTAAAATTCCTCTAGAGTTCCATTGTCATTCTCAACGAAAAGGAAAAAGAGAAATAAAAAAAAATATTAAAGCGTACAAAACTCACTTTCGCTCTAAAACTGGTCAACAACGTGTTCAACTCACTTTGAACAATTTTTTAACAAATTAACACTTGGTCCAACCTGCCAACTACAAAAGCGGATAAAACTCGCTCACAATACAACACTCGTCAAAACCTTAGATTCGGGTTCAATTGTCAACCCAACCAAAAGAAGAAAAAAAGAGAAATTTATTAATGCTAAAGTCCATTTCAAATCCCTTTGACCGGATCGAATTAGGTTGGATACCCATGAATTTTGGGTTCAATTGTGATCATGCTCAACAAAAAGGAAAAAGTGAAAGAAAAAAACACTAACGCGAACGAAACTCGGTCCTGATACAAAACGTGTGGTAGCGGCCTTGGGAAACGATGGTGGGGAACAATTTAGAATCCCGCCGACAGTATTTCGAGATGGGCTGCAAATTGGTGGGCAAATGCGATGATTTGTGCAAAAAGTCATAGACGAAAACCTAGCAAGCAAGAACTAAACAGAAATGCGATGATTTTTGCAAGAAGCCATTGATGAAAACCTAGCGAACAATAACAAAATACAAAGGCGATGATTTGTGCAATAGCCATAAACGAAAACCTAGCGAACAATAACTAAACACAAAAGTTGTAGAATGGAGAGTGGGGTAAAAGAATGACTTTGAACTTCCCTACTTACACTTGGAGGAGTGTGAGAGCCACTAATAAATAGTAATTTCCATGTTAGACTTTTATATTTTAAAATAAAATTAAATTAGTTAATTAATGCGGTGATATTTCATGACGATTCAACACGTGCTAAAGCCTACCCATCAACAAAGTAGCAAAATACATGTTACTTTTCTTTTGTCCTTTAGTTGATTGATACATAGGTTTTGATTAGATAATGACTGCTAGTGGATACCAGCAATGGCTAATTCTATGTGGGAATTGTGACAGGACATGTTTGTAGCCGGAACAGACACATCCTCTACAACGCTAGAATGGACAATGACAGAGCTAGCAAGGCATCCAACGATCCTCGCCGAAGCTACACGAGAGATCAGAAGCGTTGTAGGAAAGCAGAGCCGAGTCAATGAGAGTCATCTGCAGCACTTGACCTACATGAAATCCGTGATCAAAGAGGCAATGCGACTGCACCCTCCCGTCCCTCTTCTCGTCCCTCGAGAATCCATGGAGGACTGTGTTATGGATGGGTACATGATACCGGCCAGGACACGAGTTCTCATCAATAGCTACGCGATCAGTAGGGATCCGACGCTGTGGGAGGACCCGCTCGAGTTCAACCCCGAAAGGTTTTTGGAGAGTGGGATCGATTTCCATGATCAGGAGTTTAGGTTCTTGCCATTTGGTGGAGGGAGGAGAGGGTGCCCGGGGTTCCATTTCGGGCTGGCTACCGTCGAGATTGCGCTGGCAAGGCTGCTGTACCACTTTGATTGGGCGCTCCCCGATGGCCTCAGGGGAGAGGACGTGGATCTAGGGGAGATTTTCGGGCTTGCTACAAGGAAGAAGACTAAGCTCATGCTCGTGCCAATGTCCAAGGAGGGATACGAGTTCAGGGGAAAAAGCAATACTTAGGTCACGTATCCCGAAAGGGTGTCATCTTCGAGAACCTAATATAAGTCATGTTATGCTAGGTAAATGCTCGATTGCGAATCCTTCGAATTCGGTATTGGACAATCATGTTAAACACTAAGGTCATGCAGAGATTCTGAAAGATCAGTAAAATGCTTCAATGCCATTCCATGCTACGTGTGTAAAAGAAGGCTAGACTTGATGTGTGAGAGGTTGATAAGGTAGACATGCAATAGCCAAAATCATGCAGCAAGACTTGATGTTTTATCTAATAACCTCACCATGGCACCATAGATCTCCTGCTTAAAAGCCTCTCCCAAATCTCGAGGAAGCAATGAACTACTGATCAGAAACTGTCCAAAGTTTCAGCGCTGACTTCTCTCTTATGTTTTTCAGCCTTTAATTCTGCACAATCAGGAAGTGACCAACTTACAGAGAAATTTGTGGACTTCCAAATGTGACAAATCAATGAAAGACTTGCATGAAAAATGCACACTCACTTTGCTTTCTCCTCTCCTTTTGTAACTTCTGGTCGCGGTTCCTCGCCTTCAGTCGAGTTTAGCGTTGTAAGCTTCCCGAATGATTCCTTCGCGTCCCCAAAGAAGTCTTTCACTTTGTCGACCACTGTTTTGAGTTTGTCTGGGGTCGGAAGCTGGGAAAATCATCATGTAAATACGCAACATATCACATAAGACAAAGGCAAGGATAATATCCCGGAAGAATTCAGACGAGTTCTCTGGCTCCAAAAGTATAATCAGCAGTCCTACCTCAATAACATCATTCGTTGCAAGACCAGCTCTTACGTTGCCATTCTCCTGCAAAATGTCATAAAGCATAAAAGTGAGGAGAAAAGAGAGCCTGGAAAGGATTTCAAGGTTCTATGGATGGCAAGGAAGGAAGGGGAGCATTACAATGAGTTTGTAACCATATCTGAACTCGGTTGCTGATCGTAACACACGATGTTGCTTGATTGCAGTCTTCTGTATTTCCTTCTCATCCTATTTTTGGACACAAAACTTGCCAAGTCAGTATGATATCTAGAAACAAGAATCAGCCGACTCTCAGCCAATAATCTTATCCAATGCTGGAAACAGAATAACACAAGGATGAAAGATCTTTCAGGAGACCGGCAGAAGAGGCTGATATTCATTTATCCATATGCTTTTGGCCAAAACATGTCAAACTAATGGCATTCATTGTTTGGATCCAAACTTAGCACAGAACGAATGATGCGAAGGACAGCAACATTGTTTTCAGTGTGGTTCCAAAGTGACATCAAACTGGAAGGAGAAAACAAAGCATAGAACTGCTCCCCAAAGTTGGAATACTATGCTGGCTAATTCAGAGACTAATCATTACTAAGAAAGCCAAACAACACGATGATGATTGAATTAGTATAATACTACATATGACTCCATGTCCGAGATGCAGGCATCTTTCAGCAAGTTACAAGGAAAGAAGATGCTATCAACCAACTTACTCGGTAGATAACGGCGGCGATGTTTCGAGCAAGCGTGTCTTTGTAGATGTACTTGCCCAGAAAGTTGTCCTTGGCAGCAACCATGATTTTAGCTGTTGTGCCTCCTGTTATTAGGCTCAGCGGGTACCAAATGTAAACCTGGGGGAATAAGTGAACAACAGCCTCAATATAAACACTCGGCCTTATAGCGAAAATTAACTTAAAGCAATGAATGTTAAGGCAATCATAGACGAAGTCCCATCCAAAGAATGCAGCGCAAGATTAGAAACACCATCCGTTCCAAGTACTAACTTTAACAGAACAGTCTGCAGAACTCTATATAACTGCAGGATAGGAGGCCGAATTGGATTCTGGAAACGCATACAAAGAGAGAAGAGCGAAATAAAATGAGCAATCACACTCAATAGGAAATTTGCACGGCTCAACAAGCGCGTGCATGTCTTTGAGTCTACTCTAATTATGAACTACACCGAACTCCAATTATGAACCAAATCCCGCCGTAATCATTATGATATGAACTGATGAAATTCAGATTGAACAGAACTGCAAAGGGACTCAATTCCTCTACCGAGTGAAGTTTTGAACTTTTTACAACTACCAGAAAAGGGAAGCGAGTGGAAAAGGGAACAAACATTACATTGGCCATGCGGATGAAGATGACGAACTTGGGATTCCCATCATCTTCAATCTTCGGCAACGGAGGAGGTCTCTGCTGAAACTGGCGATTCGCCATACCTCTCTTCCCCTTAGCTTCAACTACTAACAAAGAACTGCTACGTCGGTTCTCCCTGCATCTCTGCGGCGAGAAAAACGAGTGCTTCACCAATCCATCTTCCTGAGTTCTCGACGAACTCGATAATGGCAGCCTCACCAGCGCATTTAGTGACATACCCACTTCCATTTCTGCTGTGAAGTGCTATTAAGTTTGGACCTTTTCTCTCTTTCCCTCGGGTCCTAATTGAACTTGGTTCTTCCGCAAACAGAGTACAAAAGCAATCTTATCCGGACAAGGAAAAGAACAGGGAGTCTAAATATCCACCATACACGTGGCAGCTTCTCTCGCCTCCAGTTTAATCTCTTGCAGCTGCCAAAACTGGAAAATTTAAACTCAAAGCTTCATTTCATTAATGAAATTAGAAATTCACAGTTCCTGCTAATCCCCAAGGCCAATAAAAAAGACTTCTTTCTTCACCAGGGGAAGAAAAGATTTCTTCTTTCTATGGCGAGTTGGCTAAACAGGAACAGAGGTAATAACAAAAGAAACAGGAAAATAGAAAATCAAAACAATTAAAAGTCCCAAGCTTTAAGATTCCCTGGTTCATCAGGAATCAGAAAACAGCAAAAACCCTTATTTCACAAAGTAAACAAATTGCAGAGTGGGGGGATTCTGATCAGAATCTTTGGTGGTGATTTTTATTAGAAATCAATTAACAAAACCTGAACTTTTCTTTTTAAATCTTGGAACACCTCCAGGAAGAAGCTGCAATGATGGGCCTAGATTGCCAACCAAGAACCAAGCAACCTTTCTCCTCGGTCGCAGTATACCCGTCACAGAACTTGGCCTTGCCAAGCCACTGCTTAGCCTGAGCCAACATCTTCAACGGCGAAGCCTGGAACCCGGCCCGGCTCATCCTTCTGCGCCACTGATCCGACCTCTCGTGCCTCTCGACTCTAGCCGGCCCCTCGCAGCTCACAATGTTCTTGATCTCATCCGCGAAGTAAAACTGCTCGATCTTCGCCCTCCTGGTGTCGTACTTGGGCAGCATCGAGTCGAGCGAATCGAAGATGGCCGAGTAGTAATGCAGTGATTCCATGAACCTCCCCAGGAAGAAGGGACCGTTGTGATTCGAGTCCTGCTCGACCAGGATGAACGCCTTGGGCGACAGCTCGTTCAGGACCTGAAGGACCGAGTTCAGAGCGCCACGGCTCTCCTTCACGACGCAGTGCATCTGGAGGACGCTGTTGATCACCACGGCTTCACCTTCCTGGACGTCGAAATCTTCCGGCTTCAGACTCTCTAAACTGCTCCTGATGTACATGAACTCGAAATTCAGCCCCAGGTTGGCAGCATAGCAACTGAGCTCGAGTCCGATCGCCTGCAGACGATCGGATTCAGGCCCCACGCCCGTGATTCGCAGACGTGGGGCGGCGGAGGACTTTCTGATGCGTCCAGCAATGCTGTGCATCAGATTCTGCCATTGCTGGCCACAAGGGAGGCCTAGTGTCATCCCAAGGTCCACAACGTGAATTGAACTCTCTCCCTCAAGGGCTTCGAGGATCGATGCATTTGCCACGAAATGTCCAAACTGGATTTGCGGGCAAAGCTCGTAGGCCAGGGTCAAAGCCTCGTCCTTTTCGGCCGAAAATGACGAGCTAAAGTCCCTGGCAGGTGCAGAACTTAGGACCCCATGGGTCCCCAGGGGCTGGACCAGCGTTAGGCGGTCGGACAGCCCCTGGACGAAACAGGACGCTACGCGCTGAAACGAGGTCCCGAACACAAGCGCGTTGGCTCGCAGCTCGGAGAGCAGCGCCGACGCGTGAGCTTTGTCACGACATGCGACGGCTTCCGCACAGGCGATCAGCTGCTGGACGAGCTTCATCCCGTCAACACCTGTCTCTTCTTTAACCTCAACTCTCTCTTCTTCTTCCACAGCTAGTGTCACTGCATCAGCTTCCTCCATGGCCTCGATCGCCAGGAACCTCTCTGCATACGCCCATACGTAGTCTCGAAACTGGAGCTTTGGCAAGCTGTTGAAGCTACTGTTGCTGTTGCTGCTGCTGTTAGCCTCATAGAACCCGCCAGAGTTGGTCTCGGTTGGGGATCCACCATCATCAGCTTGCTGCTTCAGCCTCTTCTGAGTTCTTGGCTCGTCTAAGGTGTAATCTGGCCCGCGTTTCTCCTGGAATGCTGGATAGTATGGGAATTGACAGAGATTCAGGTCGAGATCGCTTGAATTGACACCACCACCACCTCCTCCTCCTCCTTCATTAGGGAAGTTGGATGATATGTAAGGATCTGCAGCAACCATTTCCTGGTTTTTATCTCTTCCTGGGAAAAAATATCATACACAGTAATAATGGTACTGGTTTTCTTTTTCCTGAACCCCCTGGAACTCAAGCTCTGGTGCTTTTCAGAATATATAGACTTTAAACACCCTCCCACCTCCTGGAGATCTTTTTGGTTCTTGTTGCCGGCGAGAACTGCAATGTTCAGGAATATTTAAAAATTGGATTAATGGGTCATTTTAGCAAACACATTCACATATTATGATTTCCAAACAAAGACATCACTGTATTATACTTGTTTATCGTCTTTTCGCCGGCACATTAAAATTCAATCCAAATCTGTTACTAGAAGCTTATATGCTCCATATGATGATAACTCATTAGATCTTTTGCTCCTAATTGAATTTCCAAGAGGAAACCCTCTCCCTCTCGACGAGACTCCCAAATTCGTCATTTCGAATTTGATGACAGCGACGAACTCCTATACCATACATCACATGTGATATAAGGAGAAAGTGCTTACTAGCTATCGTTCAACTCCGTTGATAACTTATTATGATGGAATGTTTAACGAATGAACTGGACAACATAGTACAAGTGGACCGATTCGTTAAGACAACCATAGCTGAGGGACTAAATATGAGAATACAGTGTGAAAACTACTTGAGAAGGGGGGGGGGGGGGGGGACAACAATGATTGTCTAGGTACAAGCAGGCATAGGGTGCTATTTTTGCATAGATCAATCTAAGTAATCCTGTTGTCACCATCAAAGCCTCAGGGAATAATATGAATAAAAAGGGGGAAATTTTCTAATAACTCCTCATTATCTCAAAGCTGTCAATTTCTGATCCAGCTGTGTAGTTTTCATCAGCATCCGACTATACCTTTCACAAAGACATTATCTGTTATACTTCTCATGTCTCCGGCAAAAGGAGGAAATGATTAACATAATACTAAAAAGCAACTTAATTAATTCAAACTCTCCCCTCCTTGTGTTTGATCTAATTTCTCCACATTTTATTATCAGCTAAATGTTATTATCAAAGGCCTCTGGATGTGATGATCATCTGGTGGCGACGGGCACTAAGTTTTGTCTTGAGCATGCAATCTACGAGGTGGATGTAATAATAATACTATAGTACAATATGCCATACAGGTATAGAATTCCAGTCATTTTCCAGCCCTCTCCTAGGTTTTCCAGCCCTCTTCAACCATGTTTGACAACCATGGAGAAATCAAAGAAAAGGATAATAAGAAGTTGATAAATGTATCAACTTTCCATCCCGTTTGCAGGATGTTACCTTCCAGGACTACCAGTTGATTCGATTACACAAACATAGTCAAAGTAGTCTACAGATCGAGGCAAAACGAAACACTCTTTTTAATCAGAAAACAGGGAGGGCTTCGGAAATAGAGTGAAAAGTAGTCTACAGATCGAGGCAATTCGGACTCATTGTCAGTTAATAAGAGCTCAAACGGGATTTAAGTGCAGTCATAGTATAAGAAATACCATTATACATAGAGATGACTTAAAACAAAACATATCAAGAACGGGGCAGGTCAGGCGTCGGGTGAAAGAAAGACATATATGCCCCATCCCCACCCGTCCTAAACCGATCCAGTACAAGTTCTGACGAGCATGCCAAATCAAATTCGCAGCAACTAGCTAACACTACACATGCAGTCTTCACCTAGAGTTTCTTAGTTCTTGCAAGCTGATGCTAAGCTGGATAAGTTACCTGAGAGGTTGAACGAATGATGAAAATATCCTGCAGAAGGCATCTTCAGTCGTGCCGTTCGGGAAGGTATTGTTTTTGTTTGACTGCCATCTCTGGAACAAGGAAGGTAGTTTTGGACTATTCAAATTCTCCTCTCTAAGTTCCCTGAGCAAGCCGGAATTGAAGTAGCTCTCTGCATAGAAATTGCTGAACTTTGTTTGGTCTATAAAAAGACAGAACATCCACATCATAACAAGGTGAAAAAGAACACTAGTCAATTGGCTCTCCCCAAATAATATAATAACAACAATGCACACAACAATTTAGCAAAACCGTCCATCTCAGAATTCAAGGAGTTTGAAGAAAGCAGCCTGTTTACTGTACAAGGGAAAACAAAGGATAAAACTTTCTCCAACCTATACATTACAAGCAGATGGGATAACAAAGGGGAATCTAGCTCTTCCCCCTTATCCAATCAAACCTAAATTGATCGGCTGAAAATTCTTTCCTCTTTCCACCTTGTGGCACAAGCAAATCAATGATCCTCTGTTAGCTAATTCTCACTTTCTTTTCTTCATGATATGCACCTCCCCGCTCAGCTCTCGTGATCTTTCTCAATAAGAAAGCTCGTTGCCACGAACCGATATGTACTTCTTGACCCATATCCCGATATCCTCCAAGCAAGCTTGTGCCTGTGGCGTTTTGAGAAGCACGCCAAGGGTGGCAAATTCATGACTGACGTTCTTATACTCTAGCAACGGTGCATCCACATTGACCCTCCGTAGCTCCTCCGAGTAAGCAATTGCCCTCTCCCTCATCAAATCATGCTCTGCAATAATTGTCAATGTTGGTGGCATGTGCTTTAGAGGCGAATGTTTTCCAGGAACCAGAGGATTGGCAGCTGGATGATGATCCAGGTTGTCGAACTCTCCCACCTCTGGAAGGAACAGCTTCCATGCCATCTTACACATCGACTTGTCGTAAAAGTACGAGGTTGTGTAGTTAGCTTCACAATGTGGTGGTGTAGTTCCCATGAAAAAAGGGTACATCAGAACTTGTGCCACTATCTTCACAGGATTCAGCAGATTCCCTTCCCCCACCGCCTTCTCGGCAACATAGTTTGCTACATTTGCTCCTGAACTTGCCCCAAGGAGCACACACCTGTTCTGATAACAGTACCAAAATTAGGCAAAGGAATTCAACAAAAATGTAGATCTACGGCAGCTTTCTAAGTGTACAAATGTCTAACTGAAATTCCATATAAATCACTTCCAATAGCGAAGAGCCAAAATTCCACAATTCAGAAAGCAAGCAAAGAATCTAACTAGTTAGTTACCTTGAAGGATCGCCATGAGCAGCTAACCAAGGCTCAACCATGGAAACGCCAAAACTATCGTAATTGCCACTCTTAATCCCTAATCGGCCATAAACTCCCAAATTGGACTGCTTTACCAACCAATTCAAAACCTTCACTCCATCCTCAAACGCGGCAGGGTACTTGCTCTCGGGCGCCAATCTGTAGCCCACGGCGATGACCAATGAATCCCAAGCCTTAGCCACCCGCCGGCAGAACAGATCATTCTCCACTGACTCGTTGCTCCCGCTCACAAATCCGCCGCCATGAAACTGCAACACCACTGGGAGCTTCCTCAGCCGCAGCCACTGCTTCCCGGGAGGAGGCAAGTACCCACCGTACCGCGGGCAGATCCCGGACTCGGAGGAGACGGCGGTGTCTGGAAGGAAGATTCGGATGGAGAGTGACGACAGTGGGTCGATGTGGAGATCCTTGGTGGCTACGCCGTTGACAAAAGACGGGTTGCTTCCGGCGGGCAAATGCGACGACGGACGGGAAGTGATCCCAAATGCGTTCGACGGGGGAGCTGGAGGGTTTTGCTGTTGTTGATGGGTTAGGGTTTGCAGGAGTCGCTTGTGTTGGTACTTGGCGGCGATTGCGCTGAGATTGGCGACTAAGCTGGAGATCATCTTTTGGCGGCGGTGGGGATAATGCAACGGTCGTGTCCGATCTGGATCTTTCCGGCGAGTTTACAGAGAAAGGAATTGGGATCAAGGTCTTAATTGTAGAACAGAAAGAGAAGTGGAGGAGAGGAGAAGGGAGATTCAGAAGAAGAGGAACAAGGAAAGAAGTAGCAGAAAGAAGGGGTAAATTGCAAGTTCGGTAACTGTTTACTAAAAAACTTCATGTTTGATCACTAAAAATACTTAATTTTATCTTGATCACTAAAATTAATTTAATAGTTCAATTTTGGTACTCTTCGTTCAATTTCGTCATTTCTTCCTACGTGAACGTGACGGTCAATTCTCATAATTAACTGTTAAATTAGTGACGTTCAACTAAAGAAATAATAAAACTGTAAAGTTTCCAATGAGCTGAACAAAAGTCATGTGTTGCAACCTGATGATGATCTTCACCTCCACTATGAAATCTCATGTCTCGATCTTTTGGATACTCTCTTCACAGCGGCGTAGTTGTTGTTTTTCTGGATAAAACCCACCAGACCTTT